CTTTTAGTAATGGCTCGGTCTCGTAACGTTTCCGTAGAGTTCTACAGATGGAAACGCAATCGAATAGAGTATTTATTGATTCGTGTGATACGTAAACATCTTTCGTGACCAGTATTCTTCATATTGTTTGGTGGTGGACATTTAGTTCCTTGGCGATATCATGACTACTCCCATATTGGTTTTATTAGCTTTCAATTACTACGGTGGAGAACCTCCTTCGCATAGAAATTTTCATACCGGGAGCGGTAGAATCAGATCTGCGCTCTTCTTCCGATAAGGCATCCTGACTATGAACAGTATAGATCTTTGTGATTTGTGCCGTTACTGTAATAAAATAAGTGTAAAATACAGCCAATTTTGCAGAGATTTCCTGCACACTCAAGGTGCTTTATCCTAAATCTGAAGGAAGTCGTACTATGGCTATACTGCCATATTTCAGCTTTCAAACGACAGACGCCGACCGCGGTGCGACTCATACGATCTCAGATATGTGATTTTGAAAGGCGGCTGTAAAAAGTGCGAAGACATCTTCCTTGCAACAGCCGGTGCATTGCACTGAGACGTTTATATTAGACGTTTATACTATGCAATGCAAAATGTAACCACCTTCTTTATTTGTTCGAAGCAATAAATATCTCGATTTTTTCGAAAATCAATTCATAGAACAACAAACAAGTATCTTCTGACAAATGTTTGTCCTTGATAATCAACTCAATGTATATGTTAAGGCATTTGTTATACATGCGACTTATTAATCCTCCGGGATTCCCGTTGGTATCACCATTTTGTACAAAAGTTAAACAGGTATAGTAGAAATACGCGCACAACTCCTTGTAGATTTTGGGACAAAAAGTTGTCCACGGTAAATTCTAATACTAAGTTAACATATCGCTACATATACGCGTTCCCACTGAACAGAAAAGCACCTTTAAACTCACTACTTTTCACTTTTCCCCAGAATCAGCTTCTGCAGCATATATATGCTCCAAATGCAAACGCCCGTCTAAATGAAACTGTGACAGAAAAACAAGCTGATGTTGTTACTTCTTTATCGTTTAACAAAGATTCTATGAAACGCGAAAAAATTACCGAGCCTTTTCATAGAACCTCACATCTTGAAACGTGGACAATGACAAAAATCCAATAACATACATGTATTAAATATCGTACGAAGGTTCTGGAAGATTCATAGAAGTTTTTTTTTCTGTGTTAGATATAACAAACAGTCTCATATATTCCCACTTTCCTCCCTAGGTCACTAGGACAGCGAATGGAAAGGACATGTTGTCGGCCGACAATTTGATACACAGAATAAACAACGCACTTGAATTAGTTTATATATAAACAAACAAATAACCTGCGTGAGATTTGTCCGTCAGGCCATATCTTTAAGTGACTTAGCATGAGCAGCAACTTTTCGTGTACCCAAATAGCCTTGCTTTATCAGGCCTGTGTTCGATAGTTTAGCTATCGGTATCAGATATAACCAGACTGGGAACATCCGGGGTACCAGAGTGAAACTTGAAAATATTTTATTTTAGCTAACTTTGAAGCAGCAAGTTGCAGAGCAACAACTTACCGTTATAACACTAATACCTGCAATAATAGCTGCTTGCAAAGGCCTGTAAATTTATTTTTTTCGTGTGCTCACATAGCTGATTAGGCCATATAAATAATATTTAGCAAAATACAACTGTATTGTGTGGACGCACAACTTAAAAGTCATATTAAAATCAGTACGCCCAATGGGAGCGATGCAGTGCGCGACGCCACATGAGGCACACTGCATCCTATCTTGCGCAAATACACGTAACCTCTGGCAAATGAAATCTCACTGTCTCACATAAAATAAAACCCATGAACTGTCAAATGGATATTCGTGGCTGATTCGTTCTGTTTAGCCCAGTACTATGAGAGCGTTCAAGAACAATTTGCCTCCGTGGGAAACAATCCCGGCCTATTTTCCATTGAATCAGCGCCGTACACAAGAAAGTCTCGAGGACGAACGTATACTTTTACTCGCTGTAGTCTGTTCGCGATTTACTCAGTGGGGGGTTTGGCTGTATTTTTGTGCAAAGCTGAAAACTCCAGCCACTTTCGTCTGTACACATTTATTATATTTTCAAATTTGACGCAAATCAACTGTCCATTACGATGAGATTGCTTTGGGAAGTTGACCCTCCTTCTCAAGAATATATCAAGCACTTACCTTTTGATTTCGATCACAAAACTATATGGCTTAATATGTCTCTATATTATCAAGGCTTTCTTTGCACATTTCCGAAAAATACCTGCATCTAGTGCAATGATTCAGGCTTATCGCACAACGAAAATATCAGCTTCCCGAGACTTTTGTCTATTTTCTTTTTGTCGTTCCTGCATTTTGGGCTAAGTATAACCTGACTATAGCAAAAAATACGCAGAAAAAAACTGGTCCATTCGCTATATTACATCACAGCATAGAATTTGTACCTAATGGCGCCATTGTGAATGGTGCTGCTATGGATCTGAACCTAGATGTTTTTTTACGTTTTAGAAGCCATAATTTGAAGTTTATCACCTTTGTTAAACGAATATTTTTGTCCATTCAATGTTTTAAAGATTTACGGTATCTAGTGATTACTTTTTGGAAAAGATGCTTTCTTAGTCAATGATTTTAAGCTTTATATACATACTTGAGATAAAATGTTTCAGAAGGTCACTATAAACGTATCTCGTAATGCAAAACTGCTCAAGACTAGGTTCGAATAAAGTTGTTGTAGTAACGTTAATATATAGCTTTCCTATATGCTTATTCCATTAGATACCTTTGCAACTAAATACTAAAAAAAGGGATGCCTTTTAAGACCTACTACCTAAATCCTCTCTATGATAAAATGTTTTATTTAATTCCTTCCTTACTTCCACCCACTCATGAATAGTGATTTCGATTACGTCACTGACGGTTAATGTAATTGCTACTAACACACTGAAAATACCACGTCGTTTAGAGCTCACTGCATATAAATTTAATGGAAATTACTCTCAAATAAAAATCAAGTGTTCTTTAATTTCTCGTGCCTGCTTTATCGTTGTTTTTCTCTATATATTTTTTAACATTGCCATTTTTTACGTCATTATCAGCTTCATCGTCTGCTATTTTTTCTGTCTGTTTGTATAATGTGTATATTTTGCACGAGCAATTCGTCTGCTACATCGATTGTTTACTTTCTCCATGAATGTCTGCTCTTTCGTACTTCACTCGTTCATCATGTCAGTCAATGCATA